ACCCGAAACGTCAGCCTCTCTGCTCCTATGATGCTGCTTGGCCTGCTGTGTTCATCCAGCCCTGCACCTTGTTGTCTCGGATTCTCCAGCATCTGCAGTTCCTACTATCTCTGTCTACAGAGAGATATGGGCAGTTGGGCAAGTGGATAAAACATGACTACTGTTTGGCAAAATTATAAATGTTTGTCTGAAGAATCTTCAACACAGGTTCAGAGCCATTGGCCAAATAGAACAGAGAGGAGAGATTTCTTCAATCATAGGGTTGTGATTCTTTGCGAGTTCTCTACCCCAGAAGGCTGCTGATGTACAGTTGTTGAGTAAATTCAAGGCAGGGGCCGAAAAACTTATTGATTTTGCTGATGAAAAAAGGGATTTTGTTAATGCTTCTGGCACTCATCAGGAACATCACAAGAAATGTGAAAATAAAGGGAAAACAACATTCATTCTGTACAAGAAACATGCTGACTGGTTAGAATGTGGGTTCCGATTTATATCATTAGCATGGAGAATGTAACAGTAAATTGTGTCAAGCTTTGTTTGCATCTTAAAGCATAGTGATTCTGATTGGCCAAGACACTGCCCTGAGAAATAAACTAGGAAATTGCTGCCACCTATTTTGTTGGCTTGAAACAGGTGTAGAGTATACTTCAGCAATATTGAAGTTCTGTGTTACCAAACAATAATGGTGACAATGCAGGAAGACAGAATTCAGGTAGAAAATTCTCCATGATTTTACTGAATGATGACAGCTTGGAAATGCCCATTGGCCTATTCTAGCTCCTATTCTCATGTGTGCAGAATTCAGTTCAATAGAATAACATTATTGCAGCAAGCAGACAGACTCAGGACTGGCTGTTAATTCATTTCAAGTTCAGGATTGGCAGCTAAGTAGCTACTTTCCCAGGCTGATCAGGATAAAACTCAGTCCACAATAACTAGGGTTATTGAGGGCTTTAAGGCATCATCTGGAAAACATTTTTGATCCTCTCACTCAAAGAAAACTTTGGCTCCAGACAGATGGGCAAAGAAGAACAGGGGTAGAGTAGGGAGTTGAAGTGTTTTTGGAAGAATTTCAGAAAGTGAGCAACTAAATGATTCTCCTGGCAGAAACAGTATTTGAGTGAGCAACTGTGCAATTGTGTATGTATGAGCACATTTTCACACCACATTGTGTAAAGTTTATTTATTTTCTGCAAAGAACAAAAGCCAACATTTACAAAAATAACCTCTTTAAAATTTTATGTGATACATACAGATGTAAACACTAGTACACAGGCTCTGGTCTGACTTAAATCTGGAGGAGATGGACTAATGAAAAATCTAGGTCATAGATTATCTTCAGAAGAATGAGAGACAAAGACTTGCGCACACACACACAGAAACACACACCCAATAGTGTATCTAAAACTCATCCAGCCTGATTGAATAATGAATGTTCCAGTGTAGGGTGACACAGAAATATCCCATATATTAGTGAACACTACAGAGAACATCTGTTTATTTTAAATACAAGATTCTCCTGTGCTTTCAGTAGTGTGCAGATGCTGTCCTAAATATATAATTACCCCTTGATCGCAACACGGATCAATATACATACACACTTCTTTAAACATATGTTTAAGATAGAATGCAGGAATTTTGCAGTCTTGCATTCATTCTGGGTCCACCTTATTTCAGGCTACTTCTGCGTCGAGCTGTTCCTGGAGATGTTCCTGGAAATGACAGAGCAACAGTTAAACAATACTGTGAAAGGTCACAGTGACAAATTCAAATAACAGGACAAATACAGTTTAAAAAATTATCATATATTAAAAGCCCCTTCAACATTCTTACTCGCAAAATGCATCATTATGTATCTCTCTGCATTAAATTTCATCTACTGTACCTTCCCATTAAACCAGTCTATGCTACTTGAAGTCTAACACTATGCTCCTCACAGCAAGTTCTGCATGACCTGTAATTTCTGAAATTATGTCCTGTACACATGAGAATGCATTAACTGATAGGGCAGTTTGGGGTGTGGATGAGGGAAAACAAAAGGGTCAGAGTTCCTGCCTTAGATTGCTATCGCTGAAAGTATATAATCAAACAGTAAAAACAAATCTCACTACATCACCAAGTGGTTTGAGCTGTTGTGACTGAGCAGATAAAGAATATTGACAGTAACTGATTGCCTACCTCCAAGACGCTGCTGGATTGCCTCAAGTCGCTGGATGTATTCAGTGAGCGAGCGTTCAGGGTCTTGATTGCCTGAGAGGCTTGATTGGTCGGGCCCTCCACCAGGAGAGAAATGAGATCTGAAATTTACAAAAGGTGTTGATGTCAAATTAGACTGAATTAAAACCGAAAGGACTGCGGATGCTGGAAATCAGAAACAAAAATGGAAGTTGCCAGAAAAGTTCAGCAGGTCTGGCAGCATCTGTGGAGAGAAATCAGAGTTAACGTTTCGGATTGAGTGACCCTTCTTCTGAACAGTTCTGAGGAAGATCACTTGACCCAAAATGTTAACTTTGATTTCTCTCCACAGATGCTGCCAGACCTGCTGAGCTTTTCCGGCAATTCTATTTTTATTACCATCGGACTGAAGTCTTGCACTGATGCTGGTTATGAGTGTGGTGGGTGGCAGGGGTTACAATGAGCCTGCATAAAGTAGTCTAGACTCTAGATGTAATCTTCAGAGTGAAACTAATTTCTATTCTGAAAATGCAATAATGGGTGAACAGGTCAAACTGTAACAGGTAGATTTCAATTTGGGAAACTCAGGTTATCCAATTTGGACCCAAGATAGACAAATTGTAGTATTCCCTAAACAGTGGGAAACCAGAATTTTTGGAGGTGTAGCAGTTAAGCTCCCAGCAATCATATCTTCATTTGATATCAATCAGAATTATGACTGGTAATACAACACATTTGAGTGTATCTACCACTGAGATAACAAGGCTAAAAACCTCAGATTTAAGTTTTACAGAAAATGTTAGAATTGTTTTCAGATTTTAATCATGCACCTGATATTCAGTTTGGTATCTCACCTGATTTGTGATCGATATGGGGACTTTGGCAATTGTTGACTTGAAGCATTAAGTCGTCGAGTGGACACACTGTCTCTGGTTGGTGGTGAATTCATAATGTGAGTCAATGCCGGTTGCTGTTGGCGAAATAGTTCTGTTTTGACTGTCTGAACTAGAATCAGAAACAAGAAGATTTATGACATTCGCAGTTTAGTTGCTTTTATAAATATACGATCCACAGAAAAGCATTCTCCTTCTTATGTGATTATATTGTTATGGATGGTATCCTGCAAAGATGTTTGCCAATATCAGTGAGACAACACTATTTACTCTATACCCACTCACTTTGTTAAATGATGTTATATGATCTTAGCTGGTGGTAATACTGGACAAGTCAGATCTCAGATTGAAATTGTTTCTTTGCAATTTGTTTGCAATGGAGTCAGCCACTGAATACATTCACAAGAGGCTGCCAGTGTATTTTTAGCAGAAGAATATCAAAGCTTATTTCTTGCAAAAGGGAAAAAGATATCCTGTACAAGAACTATCTGAAATAGTTTATGACAACATCAAATAAAGATTCAACTCTGAACTTCAACAACCACTTTACAGTTACTCAAACCTCAACAATGGGTCACCCTCTCCTTGACAGTTCCTTGTTTGGCTGATACAGTATTAATTGTTTTCTGAGCTTTCTTCTCACTGACTTCTGAGCACTTCCAAAGCAAACACCCGAGTTTGCCACAGTCTCAGATTCTGGCGCTTTACTTGTACTAGAGTTTGTTTCTCTGCGACTTAGGAATCTTTCTCCAGCTTTGACTGTGAGGTGGCACAGCAACTCAGTGGTTAGCACTGTTGTCTCATAGCGTCAGGGACCCGGGCTCGATTCTAGCCTGGGCTACTGTCTGCATAGAGTGTGCACATTCTCCCCTTGTCTGTGTGGGTTTCCGCCGGGTGCTCCAGCTTTCTTCCACAGTCCAAAGATGTGCAGGTTAGGTGGGTCGGCAATGCTGAATCGCCCGTAGTGTCTAGGGTGAGAAATGCAGGGATGGTTTAGGGGATGGGTCTGGGTGGGATGCTCTTTGGAGGGTTGGTGTGGACTCGATCGGCCGAATGGCCTGCTTTCACACTATAGGGATTCTATGATTTTATTCTGGAGACCGCAACCCTGAATGAACTTGCACACATTGTCTTTCTAAAATGAAGTTGTTTCTTTCTTTGTCTCCCTGTATCATAGGACACCTTGTTGCTAGGACCAGCTCATTTTATTCTCTGTTTTACCCTTGTTTCTAATGCACTAAACTGTTCACCTCAAGCTCTACTCTAAGACTGTAAACTCTCATTAATCACCAAATTTCAGATATCCTTGCATCACGTATTTGAAATGAAACTAAAACAATGCCCCCCCCCCCCCCCCCCCTATTACACACAATGTAGAAATTTAAATCAAACTTAAAACTATACATCTGTTAGCCACTTTAGGACTCAACTTCCCAAATGATCATCATATATTTGAAACTTTTATTACAACAATTAGACATGTAACTATGGATAATAAAACAAACTCAAAAAAACCCTGCATTTTCCATTATCCCATGAGATGCATGCAGTGGCTTGGTGCATATCATCCAGACTGATGCAAAAAGATATCTACCGAGAAGGGAAATTTTTTTTCTCCAATGTACATGCCCCTCATGCCAGGCTGGTGAAGTTTATCAAGGGAAAATAATCTTTTTAAAGCAGTCTTTGAATTTATGCTGAAGAGAGAGTATACTATGGATGCCTTCCACAGCATTCATCAAGGCTGAATTGTTCAGTGTAGTAGTCTTAACAGGATGATTGCCATACTTGTCAAATTAGATAACATCGTGCCTTGGAGTTGACTGAATAATGTGTAAATATTACTATATTTTCCTTTCAGTTGGTGACAACAGTTTCTCTCGGTGGTTGTTTGCTGTACCCAGCATTTATGTTGTGAAAACTAAAAGCAATTCAGTGTGTTGGATTAGTTTGGTTTGCTTCTCTTCAATCAAAGCAGTGTGCTTACTACGTGGCATTTTGTCATAGAATTAGAAACAACAAACAGTAGACAAATGGAACTTGAGCATTTGGAAAATATTTTGACAATCTAATGGACTGAAGGCAGTCAAGTTGCCAGGACCTGATAGACTGCACCCAAAGGTTTTAAAGGACGTGGCTTCAGAGCTAAGTGGAGGCATTGGTTGAAATATTCCAGAACTCCATAGATTCTGGGAGGTTCCAGCAGATTAGAAAATTCCCACTGTTTAAGAATGGAAAGAGACAGAAAACAGGAAATTACAGGTCAATTGGCCTGTAATCAATTGTTAGGAAAATGCTAGGCTCCAGTATTAAGGAAGACAAAGCAAGACATTTAGAAAACCTCATGCAATCAAAGAGTCAACATGGTCTTGTGAAAGGGAAATCACATTTCACAAATTCGCTAGAGTTCTTTGAGGAGAAAACAAGCACGGTTGATAAAAAGAAACTGTTAGATGTTGCGTATTTAGATTTCCAGAAGACATTTGAGAAGGTGCCACATAAAAAGGGTACTAGAAGCCTCATGGTATCGGGGTAATGTATTAGCAAGGACAGAGATCAACATGCATAAGATGGAGAATCAGGATTAATAGGCCCTTTTCAGATTGGAAAGGCATAACTTGTGGATTACCATAAAGATCAATCCCAGGGCTTCAATTCTTTCCTATTTATATTAATGACTTGGAAGAAGGGACACTATAATGTATTCAAAATTAGCTGATAATACAAAAATAGGTTGGAGTGTATGTTGTGGTGAGGACATAATGAATCTGCAAGGGCTATAGATAGATCGAGGGGGTAAAAACTTGGCAGACGGAGTTTAATGCAGAAAAGTGAGGGGTTCGGTCGGAAGAATCAAAAGGCAAACTATTATTTAAATGGAGAAAGACTCCAAAGAAAAGTCCTGCACAGAGGGATCCAGGTATTCTTGTGTATGAATACAAAAGGTTAGCACGTAGGTGCAGTAAGTAATTCCACAAGTTCTGCAAATGGAATTCTGGCCTTTATTGCTACAGCATTGGAGTTTAAAAACAGGAAGAGTAGTGTGTACAGTTTTATCCCTATATTTAAGAAAAAAAATATTTGCAATTCAGACAATTTAAGAGAGAATCACAAGGCTCCTTCCTGGGTTTGAAGAATTTGAATGATCAAGAACAGCTAAACAGGTTAAGACTTCATTCATTAGCTTTCAGAAGAATGAGGGGAGTGATCTTGTCAAAATGCATAAGATTTTGAGGGGTCTTGACAGGACACATATACGGGAACGTTCATTTAAAACGGAGATGTCAAGGAATTTCTTCCTCCAGAGGGTAGTGAATATCTGGAATTCTTCACCACAGAGAACAATGGAGGCTAGATCAAAATATTAAAAGAAGAGGTAGTTAGATTTTTGAAACAGAGGAGTTTAGGGCTATGAGGAATTGGGACAAAAGAGGAGTTAGGGCTTAGGGCAGATTAGCCATGATTTTATGGAATAGTGGGGCAGAATGTCCCTTTTTAATTTCTTGTGCATTATGTTGTTATGTGGAGAGTTTTTCAGTCAGCAAGATTATACAGACCTTTAAAGTCAATCAATCTTTAAACAAGCAAAGTTTGGAATAACTGGCATTAAATTTCAATAGTGGGAGGTGACAGTGGAAGAGGAGGGGTCACTGATTTGTTTCTCACCATTGATTATATTTTAAATATATGTTAAACTTCTGATCTGATCAAAAGAGGACTCGAGTGCTTTATTTCCAAATTTAGAATTCCAAATTATCAATCTTGGTAACAAGCTTTGGTAAATAGCTTACTCGTAGTTCAGAGAGGAGAACCTCATGATTGGTGTGCTGGAGTGAACAGAATGCAGCATGTTCTGCTGACAACTGACTTTTTTTCATTGCTATCTAAATTCAGACCTTTTCCTGGACCAGCCACAATGTTGCTAACATTAGCTACCAATAGATCAATTGCAGATGCATGTGAAGCCACACCTGCAATGTTTTAGGTCTTTAAAAAAGTATAACATGGAATGAATGGAAATCCCCTGGATTGAAATCTCACCCCAGATTTCCAAATGCATAAAAAAACAAAAATCTGGATTTCAATTGACAGAAACTCTCCAAGTTCTGAAAGGATTTCAGCATTTATGAAACTTGCAATGTTTCTCTACCTTTCAATCCTAGAGGATCAGAGGCCACCAGCCTCAAGCTATTTAACCATTTCCCTGGAAGCAGAGTTGCTATAACCAGGATAGCTTAAGAGAATTTATTTAGGAACTTAGGTAGAAGATGGAACTGTTGTTAAACTCCTGGGCGACAACAAGACCTGATTTTTTTTTTCCCACTGATTGCGAATTCTAAAATGAGGGAAGCTGAATTGTCAGTAATGTACTTGAAAAATAAGCAGGAGGCAATGTGAATGAGAAATGCAGTGAAAGAGGGAATATCATGTACACAATATACATGAGGTTTAAAATACTTTAAAGTTAGTTAAATCATTGGGTTCTCCCTTTTATCACTAAAGGCTGATCTTCACTGCATGAGGAAGATATGAAGACAAAGCATCACAAGACGATAATTCTCATACTTGCACTGCAGTGGTGTTAAAGTATTAACCAAGTATGTCGCCAAACTAACAGAATCCATTTTGTTATCCAATTTTTTCAACTCACCTTTTCTGCTAAAAGTATTTGGCAATCTGAAATACCAAGTTAAATATTCCACTGAACAGGCTCAACCCTATGTTACCAGCTCCTCTCTTAACTCCTCCATTGCTGCTGAATTATTGAAATAATTATTGGACGACCAGTATTAATCAGCAGAAATTTTCTTCCATTAAATACTGGAAAGTCTGAAGCCACTATTTTTGGTCTCCAATCTAGACTCCATTTCTCAACTACTTATTTACTGTCTTATTGTCTTATTTATTTCTACTCTTTGTTTCCTGTCTGTTAACCATTATTCTATGCACCTCAACACACTGTACCCATTCCAACGTGCTTCAATTTTACAAATTAATCTCTTATGTGGGATTTTGTTGAAAGCCTTCTAGAAGTCTAAATAAACTGCATCTCAAAAAATTCCAGTAGAATTCTCAAGTACAATTTTCCTTTTGTTAATCCACACTGACCGT